AAAGTTTCTTTCTCTCTCTCATGTTTGATCTCTCTCACCCTTATTGTGAAAGAACCTAAAGGTTTAGGTTATGGTGTTCTTCTCTCTCATATCTCTCAAATATGGATTTATGGCTAAGGGTTTTAGGGTTCGCCAAAAAAAGAATCCATCTCTCTCAAACTAGGTTGCTAAGAGAATTCACTTAGGATTTGAGTTTGTGATCAAAGAGGTTCATATTCCATTGGTGTGGCTTGGCCGAAATTTTCTTTCCCGGTTCGAGATTGAAGTTAGACCATTGATCCCACGCCATGGGATGGTGGTGACTCGGTGTAGGGTGTAATAAACCCAGTTGAGGTAATCTCCGGCACTCTTCATTTTATTTCTTATAATCTTATCTTTTATTCTCTAGCATAGTGTATAGTTGTTTCAATGGCATCAAGTTGTTAAGATCTTGATTTTATTGTTATGTTGATTTTATTTTGAAATTTATCTTTTTATAAGAAAGACCACATGTAAGTGATCTTTTGCCAAAGGAAATGGGTGAAAAAAAGAAAGAAAATGTATTCCCCTGTAAAAGATTACATAGGTCTTTCTTTCATTTGTATCAGAGTTACTGATACTTGATACCATTAGTTATTTTTTTTCGTTATTGAGTTTAGATCAAGCTTGGAAATGAGATATAAGAAAGATAATGACCTTTGTGGTCAAGAAATACACTTACGGTTAATAATTATTGAAATATTTCAACATCGAAAAGGCACTTTGAATAACGAGTATTCTAGGCTATTTTGGAAAAGTGATATAAAGAATATCATGAGGTATTTTTTCTATTACATACTTCAATGATATTTTATCTATTTTAGAGTAGGATTTACCAGCAAAATTTTAGTAGGAGATCCTGTATGAATTGAGAGTTATGGACTCAACAATGAAGGGTGTCAGTTATGACTATGCAAAATTCAAGAACTGTCTATTGAATTCCGTGATTTTTCTTACCAACCATATGATTTTATTTCTAGCTGAAATTGGATTGTGACGTATAAAATTGAGTCAACTTTCAAACAAAAAATGTTTCATCAAGAAAGTCCTTGTGGTATGAAAGATATGATCAATTTATTGAAGGATGCGCAATTGCTATTTTCTAAAATTATTTTAATGACTTAGAAATTAAGATTTTATTTATATTATTAACAGAATGTTTTATGGTTCACACTAAGTTTTTAGACTTCCATTCTGAGCCTAATTTGTAATAAAATTTATTTGAGAGAAAAATATCTATTTGATGAAAGGAATAAAAATTTTGGATTAAAGAGAGGTCATCCTGAATTTTCTGTAATTTGATATGTCCTTCATTGAAAACATGAATATCTATGTTTATCAAGCCTACTTAATGGAGTGATATAAGGCTTGTGAAAATATATGTGTTACTATTATGTGTCTAATTTAAAAAAAAATTGGTTTGAAAGAGAAATTCCATAATGGTAGAGAGAAAAGACAATTTTACTAGATAGTGTTTATCCTTAAATTCTGCAGTATAATTTATTTTGTGACGTGAATGTCACTTATATTTCTCTGAAGAAAAGAATTATTTGGGATTCAAACTATAATGTTATGTTTTGGTTTTGAGTCTAGTTTTCAACACAATAGATTTCAAAAAGAAATTCTTTGAGGATTGAGAGAAACGATTTTTTTTTATTAAAAGGTGCTCAACCTGATTTTCAACTAAAAAAAATTGCATTGTGACTTAAATGTTACTAAAATGAATTTTCACTAATGATATGATTTAGGGATGAAACTTAACATTATTTTATGTTTTTTTTAGTCTATTAAATTACTCAAAAGAATTCGAAGATTAACTATTTATAAGTTGAGAGATATCATATTTTTATCATGGGATGCTCAAGTTTTATTCTGCAGTAAATTAAAAAGATGTGGCATGTTAAGACACATATTTGGAATCCTAAATATGAAAACCTTTTTTTTGGGCTGAATTAAAATGTTTTTATAGTGTGCTATAAGTATGGTTTGTTATAATAAAACTTCAGAGAGAGGTAATATATAGTTGACACGATATGACACTCTATTTAAAGAGTATTAGATTTGGGAATAGCAAAAAGAAGAAGAAACACAATAGCTATAAAAACATCTTGGTTTCTTCGAAATGAAAGAATATATAGAGAGACTTTGTAGAAGCATAAAAATGCTAAAAATCAGTGGGAGAATCGAAATTATGATATTTGAAATAATTGGATGAATAAGATATTGTCTTCACGGTGTAAGACAGGAGAATCCAAGTGTCAAAAAAATTGACACTTCGTGACATGTGAAACCAATAACCAATATATTCTCCATCAGTTGCGTACACTTCTAAGATCACAAAAACTTGTCAAACAAGTAAAAACGATGAATCAAGACAGCCTAGGTACCACACTACATGATTTTGAGGTATAATATCTATCTCACATTATATGGTAAGGTCATATATGAAAAGGTCATATAGGGAAAAAGGATTCAATAACTTTGTTTAATGTGCTCTGGTTATATTTTGGCTACTTGTTTTATGAATATGTATGGAGTGTATGGACATTAAGTGATAAGTGCTAACAAATTTGAAAGTACCGATTTTGAATACCTTGTGTTTTTGTGCCTCCTTGTGTTTGAGTATGAACTACTTAAGGTAGTGGTACACATGAATATGTAATTTAATCAAGGACTTAGAGCCCTAAGGATGAAACACGAGATATGGGTGTGACTCATTCAAATATGTAAGCACAAATGGAGTATTCTTATGTAACTTGGTCTTGGTGCCCATCCTCTCAATAATGTCTATAATATGATGTATTGTATGTAATGATGATCTTTTGATAAATTCTTCATAATTGTCAAAAATAAAGTATTTTGTCAAGGCTTTAATGGACATTATTTAGTCGTGCTTTATTTTTGGATAAAATTATAAGATGATATATATGATTTGTTTTTGTGACTATGAACTTGACTTGGTAGAAAATTAAGGGTGAATGCGATAAAATGATTTATGAAGAATAAGCATGTATTTTATAATTAAATTAGATGATTTGAGAAAATCCTAAGTCTACGAATATGGTATTGAGAAAACCACATAGTCTTTCAAGGTCCATTAAGCGTTTATGAAAATCATTTTAAACTGTCATACTATTATATAACTATTACTTGTGAATGCATATATATATACCAA